AACGCGACGGGCTGGAGTTTTGAGACTCTATGACCGCGGGTTCAATCCCGGCCGGGGGTATGGTTGGCAATGCCCTAACCTAGTCAGGTCATATTTGGGAAAGAGGTGATTTTGATAAGGACTTGCTTTGTATAGGCCAGTAGGCCTTCTGCAGTGTTCCTCCATTCTTATGTTCTTAATGAAGTTAGGATTAAACTCTCAATGTATATACACTAGGACTTAGAAGACGTTTCGGTCTCGAAACCTTGATCAAGACCCCAGGACCGAAACGTTTCCTAATATATCCTAGTGTTTCTTAAGGCTGAATATTCAGGATCGATTCAAGGAATAGGGCCACAGGTTTCATTTCCTAGGATCAAGAGCCCCCGTCACCGGCGTTAAGGACCCTCACTCGAGGGCTCGCTATCGTACAGCTCTGCTTGGAGCGAAAAGTTGTCATAATAAAAACGTGCTTCGTATTGCTTTTTTTTTTATCTTCAAGTTTCGCCCAGTATGCTAAACCAACGTGTGTGTGTGTGTGTGTGTGTGTGTGTGTGTGTACTCACCTATTTGTACTCACCTATTTGTGGTTGCAGGGGTCGAGTCATAGCTCCTGGCCCCGCCTCTTCACTGATTGCTACTAGGTCCTCTCTCTCCCTGCTCCATGAGCTTTATCATACCTCGCCTTAAAACTATGTATGGTTCCCGCCTCCACTACTTCACTTTCTAGACTATTCCACGACTTGACTACTCTATGACTGAAGAAATACTTCCTAACATCCCTTTGATTCATCTGAGTCTTCAACTTCCAATTGTGACCTCTTGTGTATGTGTCCCATCTCTGGAACATCCTGTCTTTGTCCACCGTGTCTATTCTGCGCAGTATTTTATATGTCGTTATCATGTCTCCCCTGACCCTCCTGGCCTCCAGTGTCGTCAGGCCGATTTCCCTCAACCTTTCTTCGTACGACAATCCCCGTAGCTCTGGGACTAGTCTTGTTGCAAACCTTTGCACTTTCTCTAATTTCTTGACGTGCTTGACTAGGTGTGGATTCCAAACTGGTGCTGCATACTCCAGTATGGGCCTGACGTAAATGGTATACAGTGTCTTGAACGACTCCTTATTGAGGTATCGGAACGCTATCCGTAGGTTTGCCAGGCGCCCGTATGCTGCAGCAGTTATCTGATTTATGTGCGCCTCAGGAGATATGATCGGTGTTATACTCACCCCCAGATCTTTTTCCTTGAGTGAGGTTTGCAGTCTTTGGCCATCTAAACTATATTGTGTCTGCGGTCTTCTTTGCCCTTCCCCAATCTTCATGACTTTGCATTTGGCAGGGTTAAACTCAAGGAGCCAGTTTCTGGACCAGGCTTGTAGCCTGTCCAGGTCTCTTTGTAGTCCTGCCTGATCCTCATCCGATTTGATTCTTCTCATTAACTTCACATCATCTGCAAACAAGGACACTTCTGAGTCTATCCCTTCCGTTATGTCGTTCACATATACCAAGAACAGCACAGGTCCTAGGACTGACCCCTGTGGAACCTCGCTTGTCACAAGCGCCCACTCTGACACCTCGTCACGTACCATGACTCGTTGTTGCCTCCCTGTCAGGTATTCTCTGATCCATTGCAGTGCCTTTCCTGTTATGTGTGCCTGATCTTCTAGCTTTTTCAGTAACCTCTTGTGAGGAACTGTGTCGAAGGCCTTTTTGCAGTCCAAAAAAAATGCAGTCGATCCACCCCCTCTCTCTTGTCTTACTTCTGTCACCTTGTCATAAAACTCTAGTAGGTTTGTGACACAGGATTTTCCTTCCCTGAAACCATGCTGGTTGTCAATTATACACTTGTTTCTTTCCAGGTGCTCCACCACTCTCCTCCTGATGATCTTCTCCATGACCTTGCATACTATACACGTTAGTGATACAGGTCTGTAGTTTAGTGCCTCATGTCTGTCTCCCTTTTTAAAAATTGGGACTACATTTGCCATCTTCCATACCTCAGGGAGTTGCCCAGTTTCAAATGATGTGTTGAAGATCTTTGTTAATGGCACACACAATATCTCTGCTCCCTCTTTAAGGACCCACGGAGAGATGTTGTCTGGTCCACCGCCTTTGAGGTGTCAAGTTCGCATAGCAGCTTCTTCACTTCCTCCTTGGTTATATGTACCTCATCCAGCACTTGCTGGTGTACCCCCCTGTTCTGATTTCCTGGAGTCCTACTGGTTTCCACTGTAAATACTTCTTTAAATCTCGTGTTGAGCTCCTGACATACCTCTCGGTCGTTTCTTGTGAATTCCCCATCACCCTTCCTCAGTCTGATTACCTGGTCCTTGACTGTTGTTTTCCTCCTGATGTGGCTGTACAACAGCTTCGGGTCAGTCTTGACTTTCGATGCTATGTCATTTTCATATTGTCGCTGAGCCTCCCTTCTTATCTGTGCATATTCATTTCTGGCTCTTCGGCTAATCTCTTTATTTTCCTGAGTTCTCTGTCTTCTGTACCTTTTCCATTCTCTAGTTCACCTAGTTTTTGCCTCCCTACACCTTTGGGTGAACCAAGGACTCGTTCTGTTCTTCCCATTATTTCTGTTTCCCTTGGGAACAAACCTCTCCTCTGCCTCCTTGCATTTTATTGCCACATAGTCCATCATTTCTTGTACTGGTTTTCCTGTCAGTTCCCTCTCCCACTGAATGTTTTGAAGGAAGTTCCTCATGCCTGAGTAGTTCCCCCTTTTGTAGTTTGGTTTTTCCCACCCTATTCCTGCTACTCTCTCCACTTGGAGCTCAACTATGTAGTCGAAGCACAGAACCACATGATCACTAGCTCCCAGGGGCCTTTCATACAAGATATCCCCAATGTCTGAACTACTCAGGGTGAATACAAGGTCCAGTCTTGCTGGTTCATCTTCTCCTCTCTCTCTGGTAGTGTCTCTAACATGTTGTGTGTGTGTGTGTGTGTGTGTGTGTGTGTGTGTGTGTGTGTGTGTGTGTGTGTGTGTGTGTACTCACCTATATGTAGTTGCAGGGGTCGATTCACAGCTCCTGTTTGTGTGTGTGTGTGTAGGACCTTCCGTGGTTTTTTTTTCTTTGCCTGTTGTATATCATTTCCAGTTGGATATTCACCTAATTTCACCGAAGACGTGTAGACGAACTGCTGAACAATTGGTTTTTGGTCATCTGACCGAGGCTTTCCGCTGGCTTACCGGTCTACCCGTTTAGAAATTATGGTCATAGTTATAATGCAGCACCAGGTCCGTGGTTCGAATCTCCTCCGGTACGGCTGGAAAACATTAGGGACGTGTTTCCATAAGACACCTGCTGTCCCTGTCCCTGTTCACCCATCAGTTTAAAATGGGTACCTGGGTGTTAGTGGACTGGTATGGGTCGCATCCTGGGACAAAACTGACCTAATTTGCCCGAAATGCTCAGCATAACAAGGGGCTTTCTGTATAGTAGTATGTCACTGATGTCAGCTATGGTCAGTATACCTTATACATGTACTTGTAGTAAATAAGATATTATTATTATTATTATTATTATTATTATTATTATTATTATTATTATTATTATTATTATTATTATTATTATTTTAAGAAGCGAGAGTGGGCGTAAATCCTTGTGCTCTCGTTATAACGATCGTTTCCTTACGATTTCACGTTTGTTTGAACTATTTAGCCAACAGTATCGCTAGATAAGAAAAACTGAACAATACCGTGACTGGAACAATACACAATTACGTGTGTGACTAGTTACTGTATTAATGTTGGTAGAATTACCGACAATGTTGGGTATAAGGATACAAGTGCAACTAAGGTGGCATTTTATTGTGGCAACGTTTCGCTTTCCAGGAGCTTTAACAAGCCTTTTATCCGACTAGTTCATAGTCCAAGTTGAACCGACACGTCGTTATACGTTTCTGTCTCCATGTGTACCTACAAAAGTACTCGTTCTGTTAACTATAAGTTAGATTACGGCGCCCTTAACTTTAATTTACTTAAGAACCAGTAACTAAATTATATAACCGCAGAGAAGGTCAGGAGTGGCGGGGTGAGTCATACGATACCACCCCTTGTTTTAATTCGTTGGAAACCCAACGCTGGTTTTTATGGTGATGAGAACGGGCGTATTTGTCGATACAAATCCCGGTTAAAACTGAATAACTCTGTTGAGTGAGAGACAGTAAGGGCAGACATTTTTTTAACACATCGGCTGATTCCCACCAGGTCATGTTGATCAAGGAAAGAGAAATATTAACTCTCTCTCACTTCTCAGTTGTCTTCTCAGGTTGGCTTATTTTAAAGCCACCACTCGTCAAGAATATTTTAACACCTAAAATACTGGATTAAAGTCAAGTTTTAGTGTCCACTCCGAGAAATATGGTTAAGGTTTGTCAGGAAACAGGAGAGGTGTTTCCCGACGCGGGTCTTTAGTCATATGATTTACAGCTGGAGCCTTTGATCAATCTGACCGAGGCCTTCCACTGGCTTACCAGTCCACCCTTTTTAAAAATTATGGTTATGATTATAACCATAGATGATAGATACCGAGAATATGTGCTTCTCGGTCTGTATGTCCCTTTCTCGCCCATATTTCAAAAAAATACAATATGAAAACTACTGGAGACCTGAGTCTTGACTATTGAGGTATCACACGATCCTCTGAGAGCCAAAGCCAGAAATTAAATAAACTCTGGCCAGGATAAAGGTATTAGCTCGACACACCTCCAGCCTAGAAAGACAAATAAGTAAACAACCTTGACATGCCAGTTTAAAGTTGCACTTGGCACTACATCGTCATCGTGTGTTTAATTTAGTCTGTCCTCTCAACGCCAACTTTTCCGTTGTAATTCTTAATTAAAGTGAGTAAATACATACATTATTTAGGATAGGTTAACGTCAATTATAACACGCATATTATTATCAATAAATGCCATCATACATAAAAAAAGACAATGTTTTGAAGCACAGCAAATGTAGAATAAACCTGTTGAAACTTGCTTAATAGTAAATGCTTTGTCTTCCAGTTCAAAGGGTGCACTAAGGCATTTTCGCGACTGGAAAACCTGAAGATCCACCTACGAAGTCACACTGGAGAGAGACCTTATATCTGCGTTTACCCACATTGCATGAAGGCCTTCTCTAACTCCTCTGACAGAGCCAAACACCAGCGGACACACGTTGATGCTGTAAGTATTGTATTATGTGACATGAACGAACTCCCTTGAGGACAGTAAAAGAGCAAATCATTACACCTGCTTTCCTTCCTTCTATAATAGTAGATAGTCCCCTGCCATGGTACGTAGTAATAAGTAGTTCTCACCAGATATCTTCGCTGTGAACCTGCAACTCATTTGCTGTCTGCCTTTCCCATGTATATTTTGAGGCGCTCTTTATCGTCCTTGCACATTTCTAGGTAGTAATCTGTTTTTATTAATAGGATCATCGTCTGAGGAGACGATGCACTGAGATACTTGTCCCACTTCCTGACCAATAAATCATTACTACCACTGAGATCATCATCAGAAAGCAGGAAAGTGTCTCCTGACGCAAGTCCCTCTCAGTTGATGACCCGCTCAGTGATAAGTAACCACTGTCGTACCAGCTGGTGCTGAGTATCGGTGATTAAGTAATCGATGTTATATATAAGAACACAGGTACACTGCAGTGGGTCTATTCCCACTCCTGTACGTGTCCAGCCGAGTTTTAGAGCTGGTTTAAGAAGACACGTCGGTAAACACTAGGATATTCGGTCCTGGGACCATGATCACTTCTGAAGTGATCAAGGTCTCAGGACCGAAACGTTTTCTAATAAATATTCCCTAGTCTTTACTTACGTATCTTTTTAAAACCAATTTGTCGGTATCAATTACCAAGGTTTATACCATAGTCTGACAGTTTTAGAGCTGCCCAGCTCAATTGCCTTGTGATATACCGGTGCTATAAACCTATAGTTAATTAAACATCTTTTGTCCCAACCGAACTATGCTTTTACCCACCTAAATAAAAAAATCACATTGGCGAGTCCTGTCAAAAAAAAAAAAAATATAAAAGTTAGACCTGAAATGAGAGAAGCTGTTAGCCTAGTATTAATTAAATACGATTAGACAGCAGTGAAAAAAAAGGTACCGGCTGTTTCTTTAATATAAACAATGTGATTGTGTCTTTCAGAAACCATACGTGTGCTCGGTACCCGGGTGTAAGAAGAGATATACTGACCCATCATCCCTCAGAAAACACGTCAAAAATCACTCGGCCAAAGAGCAGGCGCTTGCTAAGAGGAAGGTAGGTAATGACAATAAACTAAAAATATAATTTTTATGAACTAAATTACATAATGTTACATTGTTGAATCTGATTATGTGTGTTTGATTTAGGAAGTTCCATAAAGAACAAAAAGTTACAATACCGTGACTGGAAGAATATACATATAATCCACACATAGGAGGAGCCTAGAACGACGACGACGTTTAGGTCTGACTTGGACCATTTACAAAGTCATACTAACAGAAAGGAAAGAAGGAAGTATATATAGGCCAGCAGACAGGTATGGAACGAGAGAGGTAGTAGGAAGGGAAGTAGTAGTAGTAGTAGAGGTAGTAGGAAGGGAAGTAGTAGTAGTAGGAAGGGAAGTAGTAGTAGTAGAGGTAGTAGGAAGGGAAGTAGTAGTAGAGGTAGTAGGAAGGGAAGTAGTAGTAGTAGAGGTAGTAGGAAGGGAAGTAGTAGTAGTAGGAAGGGAAGTAGTAGTAAGAGGTAGTAGGAAGGGAAGTAGTAGTAGAGGTAGTAGGAAGGGAAGTAGTAGTAATGCGACTTCTACTGCTACTTCCTTTCCTACTACCTCTCTCGTCCTGTCCCTGTCTGCTGGCCTATATATATACTCCCTCCTCTCCTTTCCGTTTGTGTGACTTTGTAAATGGTCCAAGTCGGACCGGAACGTCGTCGTAAGCTCCTCTCTCCTATAGAAAATACCATATTTAACTAGGTATTTCAGGTATACTTAGAGTTTGATTTAATTCCTATTTTAGAGATTCAAGTATTCTGGTTTGTTGGTGTATTTTCGTACCGACGCTAAAACAAAACTTGAATGTTAAATTAACTGGTGTTACAAATTCGATAAACATTAATGTTAGTGAAAATGAAGAATGATATATAATGGCCTGTTACAGATGAGAGCCCCAGAGGAGGATTTTCGTGGGTCGTCCCCAAACTGCCTAGTTGGCCTACCTCTTGAGACCGACACTCCTCTGATGGATCACGATGCTCTACAGTACAGCGGTGAGTCCTCCCTCGGTATGAGCGTTACTAGAACAACTTGAGAGTCGTCAGGAAACGGGACAAATGCCTCCTGAAGCGGGTTTTGGTAATGTGACCCGCCCCTGGAACCTTTGGTCATATGGCCGAAGGATTACGCTGGCGTACTGGTCCATCTCTTTAGAAATTATAGATAAAATCATTTGATGATAGTCTAAGATGTGACTGTTTCCTCTCTCAATATAATTTGTAGTGTCGCAACCTTAATAATTTATTTTGATAATAATTAATATAATGCTACAATTATTAGTCTTCGTATAGCAGTAGCACAATAAAAAGGTTATATTATTATTATGTAAAGTAGTAAGCCTGGAGGCTCGATCCTTCGTCCACTAAACGAGAGACTAAATATTTTATAAAATACTTCCGTTCGTGGTATTTGCTTATAGATTCATTTATTTATATATTTACGTTGATTAAATGGAAGTTAGTGAGTTAGTTGTGTTCCCCCAGACAGTGTCGTCCCCGAGTGTGGGTCCAGGGGATGTGGTCCGCTTCAGTCTACGGTGCCATGTGCTCTCCCGACGGCCCTCGGGGGAGAGCACACAGATGGCACTGGGGCTGCCGGAGACCTTAGTGCCCGAGTTTTCCCAGGAGGACCTCGACGCATGGGTCAGCATATACTGAACTACCAACACCTGCCAAACAATACTCTCTTCGTGTACGGACAGGATTCTCAGATGCAGCAGCAGCTGCAGAGCAAACTTTTGGGAGGAAATGACGAGTGTGAGATAATGTATGAATCTTTATCACCGTCCTACTGCCAAGCCCCGCCCTACTCAGCTGGTGCCTCGTCTCATCTTGCACACTATACCATCACCACTCCTGCTACCCACTCGTCCTACCAGACGCCAGTATTTACACAGCAGCAGCAGCAAATACACCAGCAGATGTCACCGTACTCGACACAACAAGGAACTTGAAGTGATAGTTGATTATCGGTGAACACAGGAATGGCGAGGTAACTCTGAAACAGTTGCCTTGTAACTCCGGGAAGCGAGGACAAGTTCCACGAAGCTTGTCAGCACACAGTGGGCCAATAATATACTATGTTGTTAAAATGTATCTAACTGTTGAGGCTGCAGTTGATACTTTATTAACTGACCACATTGTACACTGAGACCCACTCTTCCAGTGCCTATTTTTGTATAGTTTTTCTAACTGTTTGAAGGTTGTGTCCACTGAGGTCAGTCATGCCACACCTCTGCTGGATGCAACATACAGTTTAATTGCCTTGAAAGCAGCATTTGTACAATCCTTTCATACACACACAAACACACTGTGTACATACATACATATATACATACGTTGGAGCGTCAAAGTATAATGAACACTAGTCATTTAGAATAACCTGTATGTAATATATAATATATATATATATATATATATATATATATATATATATATATATATATATATATATATATATATATATATATATATATATATATATATATATTATGTCGTGCCGAATAGGTAAAACATTTAAAGATATGTATTTTTAATTTATGTTAATGTAAAAAAATAATAATTCTGTACCAAAAGTACCTTAGAAAACTTACCTAACCTTATTATAACAAGCGCAATTTAATATAGACTAATCCAGCTAAATATATTTTAGATAAGTTTACAATTTAATAATAAAAAAACACAATGAAACATATTTTTTCGTTAGGCTCAGAATGATATTTGCGAAATTACTGCATACACAAATTTTCGCTTTCCTTATTCGGCAAGAAGAGTGTGGCTATTAAGCAAAAATCGCAAGTTGTACCTATATGGCACGACATATACATATACATACATAGTCTTTATGTCTGTCAATGATTTAGAGGTTAACTGAGTACTATACTTCAGTAAAACTTTTTGTTTGTACTCTGGCATACTATACCAGAGAACTGGTGATATATATTTTTTATTTATTACACTGCAAAAGCGACTTAACTAATGCATAAATCATTGTCATTGAAGGTTACAGACGGACACCCGTGATACAGGAATCACCGGGTCAGCCAACAAAACATTTGATGTTGCTAACTGAGAGTAATTTTTAAGGGCACCTTTCATTGGTGTAGTGCCCATAGCTGGTATTTACAAGCTTGAACCAACAATGCCAAAGACTGTGGTCCACGATTGTTATCTTATGATGGAGTGACGATTTGGATTTTTTTTTTTTTTTTGCCTTCTTGACGTATATATTTGTTGCATCTGTAGCCTAACCTAGTAGTGCTGCCCATTTGCTCTAGATACATACATATATATTAATACGGATCTATTTTAGAAGGATCTATTCTTAGGGCCTATGAAAATTTTAGTATCTATGAGGCTTTGGAAATATATACATAAGCTATAACAACTTGCCAAAATATCGAAATTATTAGGCACACAAAAGTAAGTTTAAAAGTTTTTTTATAGCAATAAATGCATTGTAGACATATGGGGAAGTTATGTTTTGAGGGACAATGATATACAAATCACTATAAATATCTTCCAAACCTTCATGCCGTCCTGCTTGCCAATAATTTGTAAAAATAAACATGTCGCAGAAAGACCCCTTTATGAGTACGACATTTCACCTCTATGAGATTTTATCAAATTCCACTTGATAATGACATAGGTGAAAAATGTCTCGTGTGGGAGAAATGTCGCATTAAGGTCTCCCTTTGTTGTATGAGTCGTTACCACTTGTAGGCTACGTCATAATTCAACTACCAGAGAGTAATTGAAGGTAGATGGACACCTGTCATTAAGAGTCAAAATCTGGCCTATGGTCCGTCACCCTTCAAGTAGTGACCAATGATTTGGACCTAAATTGGGAACAGGAAACAATGGACCACAATGTTTCTGAGCGGAATTTGAGAATGTTATGATTTAATTTTAGTGTTTTAGCAATTTCCTTCTTGATATTTAGTGCTGCAGCACTGCTTCATATATATTTAAAACGTCTATTGTTGCTGATACTAAAATTAATCACTTTCATTAATACTTTTTAAGGTTATTCTCGAAATCTGCTCAAAATGTCGTATGTGTTAAGCTTGTTTAATTATTGCAATATGTACATAAAGTACAAATCTGTTTATGTATGTTTACCACAAGTTTTATGAGTGCAAAGTTATTTATTATAAATATATGTTAGAGTCGTGATAGCGTTAGGGTACAGGTGTATAGATTGTCTGTCTGCTGCTCAATTGTAAGCTAGCCTTGCCTCATTACATGCCTGTGTGTGCAGCTGTGTACAAATGTACATTTTTTTGCTACATGTTGCAAGTTTTTGTCAATGGGCTGTAAGTCTGATTTGTGATTTCCGTCTCTAAGAATAATGGTATGGATATCAGAATTTTTATGGCTGACATAAAAATGATTATAATGGGTTGATATGTAATTCATCATTAATGGACCGTCTATCATACTGAACAATGACAGGATCATGTATAGAAACGAACCGATAAATATTCACTATATGTAGTAATTCTAACACAAAAGAAATGGCGTTTGATAATGCAAATCACATAAAAATTAAAGCACTGAAGAAGGTCCTCACCATGACACCGAAATAGACATTAATAATATTCTCTTTTAAAAGACTCTTCGGGTATTATCCAAGAATGTAGAGGAATACAGAAATATAGAATTATTATCACAAACATGTATAAATCAATGTAGGATTTGTTGCAATTTGACAGTGGTTATTTGTTGAGGTGGTGATCATAGATCATTGAAAATATCCAGGATTGAGTTGTTACCAGTAGTAATATGTCAAGTACTTGCGTGAAGGTATATTCACTCACAGGATGAGTTGAACTGCCCAAGAAACTCTTCTCTCTGGGCAAAAGTCTATGAAGTGTATTCGTTTCTATGCGAGTCAGTATATGCAATGGGTTGCGGGTTCAAACCCCACCCATGGTATGGTTTGCAGTCGTGCCATTACGATTTCGTGAGTCATGTCAGTGATCACTAGTGCCGGTGAAGTAATCTGCAGAGCAAGACTCTAACTGTGATGGTATATTGCACAATGTAGAGCTACCATGGTGTGGCTCTATACTAAGGGAACTGTTGACCACACATGCGAGCACCATTCATTACTTAAACCATGACTACGTACTTCTTATCACTACTATATTCTCCAGTTTGCTCTTTTAGCGACGGTAAGAACATAAGAAAGGAGGAACACTGTAGTAGGCCTACTGGCCCATACCTGGCAGGTTCTTCTCAACTCCAAACCCACTAGCAATTTGTTGTTTGCAAAAAATATGATAAATTGGTGGTCAGGCACGAACGTCATAGGAATCATACAACACTCGGAGAATAGATGGTAATCAGATTTGATCCTAGGGAAGGGAAGGTAACTGCAGTTCCTTGAAACAAGAGCCCCATTGGGGTACACAGTCCACATGAGGCGAGGCAGCTGTCACACTCAACAGTGCTTTCATTATATTTAGTCACCCCTCGACTCATGGTTGGTTGGTTAATGGGGAGGTTTGAAGCCTATCGACTACATGAGGATCATTAGGCTGCATGTAACCCATTCACCACCAGTCAAGAATACTCCCTGAAATGGGGACTTAATTAAACTCTCAGCGTATATACACTGAGATATACACCTCTCGGTGTATATATCCTGTGATCTCTACTCACTTATGTGCCGCAAATTGTCTAAGTGATTTTTAGATTATTTTTTATAAATGTGGTGACATGTATGTGTAAAAAATAAAGTAGGCTTTTGTGATAATTCAATAAAACAATGTATGTGCTGTTTATTTTAATCATATCCTTTATAACCTGGGTATTAAATATATGCAGAATTTACGGTGCCCCGTGGCCTGGTGGCAAAAGCTTTCGCTTCACACGGTGAGTGTCCAGGTTCGAGTCCCGGCGAAGGGGTGGAAATATCGGACGTGTTTCCTTACACCGGTTGTCTATGTTCACCCATCAGTAAAATGGGTACCTGGGTGTTAGTGGACTGGTGTGAGTCGCATCCTGGGACAAAACTGACCTAATTTGCCCGAAGTGCTCTGCATAACAAGGGTTTTTTATACAGCAGTATTGATGTCAGCTATGATCTGTATACCTTGTACATGTACTTGTAGTAAATAAAGATTTGATTATATTATTATATATTATCTCGTCTGGGTATTAAAGACATGTGGTATCTCGTCTGCCGAGGACGAATCAGGTGGAACGTCAGGAAAATTTAGGTCTGGTCACATTCATTAGGGATTTGCCTGTACTTCCGGCCCGGGTCTTCTCCAGAAGGCGACCCGGCGGGTCTGGTCACCCGAACTGTCGACAAGAGAGACGAGGAGGATGTGAGACGAGGGATGTGAAAGCTGTCATAAACAGCCTTTACTACTGACCTGTCCAGCGTTGTAGAGGAGCATGGCGAGATCTATACAGGCGGGAGTAAGAATGCCAGGATTTACATATAGATGTATGTGATGAGTGGTTTTGAAAACCGACAAGTTGAAGAATTGAGACACTTATGCAACACATGGTTGTTGTGTTGCATGTGTCTCAATTCTTCATATAGAGGTACCTGACAAGTAGAGGGCGAGAAGTGAAAAAAAAAATTGTCCCAGCCAGTCAACAGTAGGACACTCCGACCCCTCAAGAGAGGTTCCTTGATGCTAGTGATGGGGGCTCTTGATCTAAGGAATTGGATCTGTGTTCCAATTCCCTGAATTAAGCCTGAATGCCTTCCATCATCCCCTCACAGGCGCTGTATAATCCCTACGGGTTTAGCGCTTCCACAATAATAAAAATAAAAATAAAAATAATAATAATAATAATAATAATAGTAACTAAGACCCTCCTACTGGTGAAGAGGTATTGATGTCAGAAGCAATGACATCATAAGGGCTGGACACGAGTGTCTGTGGGAGAGTATATAGTCCTGTACCTTGTACCTAAATATACCTACTTATTACCATGGCTCGGTAAGCAACGCTCTCGCCTCACACACTGCCTGTGGTTCAATCCCCAACTGGATGGAGAAATTGGACATATTTCCATACACCTGTTGTCCCTTTTCACCTAGCAGTTAGTAGGTACCTGGGTGTTAGTCGACTGGTGTGGGTAGCATCCTGGGGTGACAAGATGAAATGGCCACAACGGAAATAAGACACAGACGCACTGACTTTATTGGGTTATTCTCGATGGCTAACCCTCCGAGTTAAAAGTTTTATCTCACTAACATCAACGTTCATATAATACAAAACTCTGCTGTATATCCTCACTTCTAATAAAGTATTAAAGCAATATTCAGGGATACAGTTAGATCCAGTATCACTGCATCATGTCACGTGACCTCTTCCACAATTATACTGAGTATAAGGCGTTCTTGAGAGTAATATTGACTGTATTGTCAAATAAATAAGATAATGAATTCAAGATGGGATATGATAAGAAAACTATCCCATCATCTTTTTACTCCTCCTCCTCCTCCTCTTCCTCCTCCTCTCTTCTTCTTCTTCTTCTTCTTTCTTCTACATGATTAGAAGTTTCTTCTCTTCTCATCCCATTGACTTTTTCACTGGCCTGTGTGTCAGCCTACTGTTGTGGGTCGCATCCAGGGTAAAATGTGTTGGAAACTTCAGGCTTGCTGGAAAGTTATATCCCATATCAAAAAATATTCCGATCCTCCTGGAATGTCATGCCCTGTGTCAGGAAATACTCCAGTCCTGCTGGAATGTCATGCCCTGTACCAGGAAATACTCCAATCCTGCTGGAATGTCATGCCCTGTGCCAGGAAATACTCAAGTCCTGCTGGAATGTCATGTCCTGTGTCAGGAAATACTCCAGTCCTGCTAGAATGTCCTACCCTGTGTCAGAAAACACCCCAGTCCTGCTAGAATGTCCTACCCTGTGTCAGGAAACACCCCAGTCCTGCTAGAATGTCCTACCCTGTGTCAGGAAACACCCCAGTTCTGCTAGAATGTCCTACCCTGTGTCAGGAAACACCCCAGTTCTGCTAGAATGTCCTACCCTGTGTCAGGAAACACCCCAGTCCTGCTAGAATGTCTTACCCTGTGTCAGGAAACACCCCAGTTCTGCTAGAATGTCCTACCCTGTGTCAGGAAACATCCCAGTCCTGCTAGAATGTCCTACCCTGTGTCAGGAAACACCCCAGTCCTGCTAGAATGCCCTACCTTGTGTCAGGAAACACCCCAGTTCTGCTAGAATGCCCTACCATGTGTCAGGAAACACCCCAGTCCTGCTAGAATGTCCTACCCTGTGTCAGGAAACACCCCAGTCCTGCTAGAATGTCCTACCCTGTGTCAGGAAACACCCCAGTCCTGCTAGAATGTCCTACCCTGTGTCGAGAAACACCCCAGTCCTGCTAGAATGTCCTACCCTGTGTCAGGAAACACCCCAGTTCTGCTAGAATGTCCTACCCTGTGTCAGGAAACACCCCAGTTCTGCTAGAATGTCCTACCCTGTGTCAGGAAACACCCCAGTCCTGCTAGAATGTCCTACCCTGTGTCAGGAAACACCCCAGTCCTGCTAGAAGGCCCTACCCTGTATCAGGAAACATCCCAGTCCTGCTAGAATGTCCTACCCTGTGTCAGGAAACACCCCAGTCTGCTAGAATGTCCATACCCTGTGTCAGGAAACACCCAGTCCTGCTAGAATGTCCTACCCTGTGTCAGGAAACACCCCAGTCCTGCTAGAATGCCCTACCCTGTGTCAGGAAACACCCCAGTTCTGCTAGAATGCCCTACCATGTGTCAGGAAACACCCCAGTCCTGCTAGAATGTCCTACCCTGTGTCAGGAAACACCCCAGTCCTGCTAGAATGTCCTACCCTGTGTCGAGAAACACCCCAGTCCTGCTAGAATGTCCTACCCTGTGTCAGGAAACACCCCAGTCCTGCTAGAATGCCCTACCCTGTGTCAGGAAACACCCCAGTCCTGCTAGAATGTCATACCCTGTGTCAGGAAGCACCCCAGTCCTGCTAGAATGTCCTACCCTGTGTCAGGAAACACCCCAGTCCTGCTAGAATGTCCTACCCTGTGTCAGGAAACACCCCAGTCCTGCTAGAATGTCCTACCCTGTGTCAGGAAACACCCAGTCCTGCTAGAATGTTCATACCCTGATTCAGGGAAACACCAGTACTGCTAGATGTCTACCTGGTCAGAATAACCGTCCTGCTAGAATGTCTACTTGTCAAGGAAACACCCCAGTCCATCTAATTCATACCTTGTCAGAAACCTGTCCTGCTAAAGGCCCTACTGTTGTCAGGAACACCCCAGTCTGCTAGAATTCATTACTGTGTCCAGGAATAACCCCAGTCTGCTAGAATGTCTACCTTACAGGAAAACCCCTGTCCTGCTAGAAATGCTACCTGTGTCGAAACCCCAGTCCTGCTAGAATGCATACCTGTAGGAAGCACACCCCGTCCATGCTAGATGTCTCCGTGTCAGGAAACACCCAGTCTGCTAGATGTCCTACCTGTGTCGAAACACCAGTCTGCTGATGTCCTACTGTGTCAGGAAACACCAGTCTGCTAAGATGTCTACCCTTGTCGAAGTCACCCCAGTCTGCTAAATGTCCTACCTGTGCAGGAAACACCCCATCCCGCTGATGTCCTACCCTGTTGTCAGGAACACGCAGTCTGCTAAATTCATCTGTGTTTAGGAAGACCCCAAATCTGCTAAGGCCCTACCTGTGTCAGAACACCCAGTCTGTAGAATGTATACCTGTGTCAGGAAACACCATCTGCAGATCCTACCTGTGTCAGAAACTCCCAGTCCTGCTGAATGTCTCTGTTCAGGAAACACCCCATGTTCTGCTAGAATGTCCTACCTGTGTCAGGAACACCCAGTCTGCTAGAATGCCCTACCCTGTTAGAAAACCATCCTGCTAGAATGCCCTACCTGTGTCAGGAAACACCATCTGCTAGATGTCCTACTGTTCAGGAACACCCATTTAGAATGCCCTACCTGTGTGTAACCCCAGTCTGAGAATGCCCTACCCGTGTCAGAACACCTGTCTGCTAATGTCATACCTGTTCAGGATACACCTCAGTCTGCTAGTAATGTTTACCTATGTCAGGAACACTCCATGCTGCTGAGATTTCCTGTGTCAGGAAAACCATCTGCTTAAATGTCATACCCTGTGTCAGGAAACACCCCAGTCCTGCTAGATGTCTACTGTGTCAGAAACACCCCAGTCCTGCTAGAATGTCTACCTGTGTCAGGAACACCTGTCTGTGTAAGAAAGCTTCACCCTATTGAAAGTATTATGTTGTTTAATATCATACCTCACTTAGATATGTTAATTAAAAAAACGGCCATTAATCATAGCTTGAACTGCGCAATGTTTAGTTAGTTTTTCAATTGAGATATTATTTTGCTGACCAAATGGCATATTTTGTGATACGCTAACAAAAACTTTTGACGCCAACTAATAACTGATTTTACCCCAGCTTGGCGGGGCAACATTGTCGCCTCCACACTGAGTTTCCTGGTTCGATCGCGGTGTTCTTACCTGCTGTCACTGTGGGTGACAGCAGGTGTAAGGGTGTTACTCAGCTTGTGAGTCACCCTGGGGAATAAGATTGAAAGACCCTAATGGAAATAAAAATCTTCGATGACGCACTGACTTTTTTGGTTATCCTGGGTGGCTAACCCTCTTGGGTTAAAAATCCCAACAAACTCTTAGCGTATCTTAACCTTACTCAGCTACTGGTAGATATGTGCCTTATCGTTCGTCTAGGCGCGTAACACGACTCAATACTCTATCCATAATTTTAGTTTAACTTTTAAAAATATCCCACATGTACGGTAGCACATAATGCGACATCAATTAATTTATTTTAAAAAATCAGGAATTAATATCTATTGAAATTACATTCATGATCTCTATATTAACCATTTAGACTTTTTTTAACATTGAAAATAGATGTAACATTGTTTTTTCTTTTAATATATCATTTATAAGGTTTAAGATGTTATTTATGTGTGAGATTTTTGAGTAATGTTAATGTTGGGTTGGCAGTGAGAGGGATCCTTAGTGATGACGTCACACATAAACAAATGACAAAAGTGTTTGGCCGCTTGTGCAGTTTCCCCAGAACAAATTATGTCTTTTCCGTCGATAACCTCAGAAAACTACAGAGTGAAGAGATGAACAAAGTGGCCCTCTTCATCATCTTCCTCTGTGGAGCGATATTTGCAAGTTTAGTTTCCGTTATGCATAGTTATGTGTCGTTATATACGTCAGAGAGGAGACTGAGTTCTTCCCTGGGGGCCATACCAGCTGGTGCTGACCTGGAGCTTATGGACGAGGGTTATGTCACTATGGCCTTGTTAGGGGCACACCATGACCATAAGGCAGTTACCAGAAGCGACTATAACTAGGATCCGTAGTGCTTAAGAGCAGTTAGATTTGATGGATTTTAACCCCGGAGGGTTAGCCACCCAGGATAACCCAAGATAGTCTGTGTGTCTTCGAGGACTGTCTGTCTTATTTTCATTGGGGTCGTTAAATCTTGTCCCCCCAGGATGCCACCCATATTAGTTGACTAACATCCAGGTACCTACTTGCTAGGTGAACAGGACAACAGGTGTAAGGAAATATTCCCAGTGTTTCCATCTGTGCCGAGGATTGAACCACTGACACTCAGTGTGTGAGACGAGAGCATTGTCTACCAGGCCATGGGACACTGTAGCTGTGTTAACTTTTAAGGTTTAACCCGTAAACGGTCCAAACGTATGTATATATATATACGTTTTTTCAACATTTGATAGTATGTAAAAAAAGTAGCTCTTCTTTTTTTTTTTTTACGTTTGAAAACGTGTAAAAATACTTTGATCTACTTTTTTTTTATTATATTTGAAAATATTAAAAAAAACATAGATCTACTTTTGGAGCACTACGCATGTGAACGTAGATCTGCTTGGACCGTTTATGGGTTAAATAATAAGATATTTCAAGGACCCCAATGGAAATAAGTCACTTTGACTTTACAGTACGATAATTGTACTTATGTGTGAACAAACAATTGAACATATTAGAATAATGTTTCCATCCTGCAATGGCAGTGTTTTCTAATGAATATGCCCCAGCGTTCGTTGATGTGTCTTGTTTAAACCACATGTCAGTATCTGTTACCAATGTTCTCACATTTCTTGAAGAAAATGGTAATGGCCATCACTGGAAAGAAGTTACATGATTTTATTGATTTATTCTTTGTTAAATTTATGTAATGTGCCATTTTTTGTATCCCTGAAGCATCTGTACCTCAAAACTATTATATAAATTTATACTACTGTCTAAAGAATATTATTAAGAGGACCTTAAAGATTGTTTTTGATTTCTATTCACATTCTCTCCTGCTTGTTTATACCTCTATTTTATTACTTCTGGGTTTGTTAAAAAGCATTTCTGGGATAGGTTAAATGAAACCTATGTTAGATGAAACTTGATTTGGAGCTTCAAATATTTGAAAAGTCAAATTCTTAGCCCATCTTCATTTTGATTTTTTGTAGATTATTCATATTAATTTTCTTTACCTGTTATGTGTAATTCCCAAATTAATCTCTTATGATCATGTGTTCAATAAGCTATTCCCCAAGTGCTGTATGACCCATACAGGTTTAGTATTTTCCCCTATAAATATTATAATTATCATGAATTATTACAGATGCAGAAATTGAAGCACTAAACACATTAAAAGCTGCTAGAGAGCTGGTTCATTCAGGTAAATGTGCCAGAGCTGGTAGGCTACTGGAACATGCATTCTCACTGGCACCACGTCACCCAGATGTTCTTATACACTACGGAGAATATCTCGAGCAACATCGTAATGATGTAGTTCAAGCTGACCGGATGTACTTGCAAGCTTTGGCCATATCTCCAGCAAATTCTCGTGCTCTGAGGTAAGAGTGTGAATTCCATGCCTTGTTTATTTATAATCTTTATTTTCTCTTTCTTTATAATTATGAGTTTACGGTGCCAAAGCATTTTTTAGTGAATATAGTCAGTCTTTGTGGGTTTCCAATATAGTTTACTGTCAGTCTATGTGGGTTTCCAATATACTTTACTGTTCAAATCAACACTAGTGTTTTCCAAGCCTACATCAAGAAAACAAATTCTTATTCTCCTTCTCTGTATTGAAATAGAAGTGTTTTTGCCTTGAGAAGCATTTATAATGTCTCCATGAATTTTATGATGTGTTTATAAATGAGATAGGCAGGAGAAATGAATATTATTGTGTTTTGGAGAGGGTGTGGTCCTAAATAATAACAAATATGAACTCAAGTGAGAATAGTCTCAATTGTTGTTGACGGTGGCAGTGCTATTGGGAGATCTGAAAGAATAAGTTTCATAGGTTATTAGAGGCATGTTGCAAAAAAAAAATGTAAGGTGATGAAAACATTTTGGGGAATACAATATGTATAGTATTGCTTTTAATTTGATTGGATGGCAGAAAGTAAAAGGGAAACCTGAAATATGACACAGTATTGGAAACAGTGTTTCAGAGAATAAGAGAAAAGAGAAGAAAATGGGATTAGTGTAAAATTCTCAAACCATATCAAGAAGGTTTTTGGATGAAGTCTGGCAACATAGTGATTGAGTGAGTGACAGTCAAAGGGTTGTTTTTCATTTTTTTCATCCACCCTACCTGTGTAGGTAACTGGTGATTTAAAAATACTGATTTAACCAGTTAATACCCTGAGATAAAAAGTTATTAATAAAAATTTTTATTTCTACAGAAATCGCAGACGAACTCAACCTCTTGTTGATGAAATGGACTCAGTGATGTTGTACCGCATTGACAGCAAAAGAGATGATCTTGCTCAAATACCAAGTTCTTCTGCTGCCCTCCGCCGTATAAAAAAGGAAGCATATTTCCAATATATTTATCACACTGCAGGTATTGAAGGGAATACCATGACTCTTGCTCAAACACGCATGATCCTAGAGACAAGGCTAAGTGTTGGAGGTGAGTAGTGAATTGAGTTACAGTGGATAGATAGGGGAAGAGTTGTATTTCCTTTATTTTTATTTTCTATAACAACTTAATTTCCAGGAATATACAGTAGTTTTGTAATAATAATCTCTAGGAGTAATTACTTAAGGGTTGTAGGACTTTTTTATAAGCTTGTATTTATCATTATCAAGATATACCCAGTGATTTTGTACCTTCTGTATTTATTGTTCCCTTCAAGAGAATGGGAGGGGATGCCTGGATGCTAGTGAAGGGCTCCTGATTCAAGAAACTGGACTACAGTATACTGTAATTACCTATTTGTACTTAAAAAAATAAAGTGATATATGTGGTGTCCCATTTTCTATATTTTACTGTATAGAAATTTTAAATTAGGTAAAGCCACACTTTGTAGAAGAAACTTCAAACAATATTTTTGTCTCCTAAATCATTATTAAGTCATAAAGTGATTTGTGGGTTAGTTGTAAGTAATGCATGTATACTTAATTTTCAGCAATATAAATTATAACTTTGTATCTTGCCATCAGGAAAGAGTGTAATGGAGCACAATGAGATCTTAGGCTTAGATCTTGCTCTTAAGTTCATCAACACTACCTTAGTCCATAGAGTTGGTCGTATATCATTACATGATATCCTGGAGATTCATAGAAGAGTCTTGGGACATGCTGATCCACTTGAAGCAGGGCAGTTGCGCACTACACAGGTAATGTTGGAATTGAAATTAAAAATCCTAGCCAAGATAATCGTATTATTGAATATGCATAGTTCCCCAGGACGTTTTTGGATTACTGTAGAGTATGAGTTTTATCTTGATTCTTCTTTTTTTCTTTCAACACACCGGCCGTATCCCACTGAGGTGGGGTGGCCCAAAAGGAAAAACGAAAGTTTCTCCTTTTCTTTCTTCTTTCTTTCAACACACTGGCCGTATCCCACCGAGGCGGGGTGGCCCAAAAGGAAAAACGAAAGTTTCTCCTTTTACATTTAGTAATATATACAGGAGAAGAGGTTACTAGCCCTTGCTCCCGGCATTTTAGTTGCCTCCTACAACACGCATGGCTTACGGAGGAAGAATTCTGTTCCACTTCCCCATGGAGGTAAGAGAAAATAAACAACAAGAACAAGAACTAGTAAGAAAATATGAGAAAACTCAGAGGGGTGTGTATATATATGCTTGTACATGTATGTGTAGTGTGACCTAAGTGTAAGTAGAAGTAGCAAGACATACCTGAAATCTTACATGTTTATGAGACAGAAAAAAGGACACCCGCAATCCTACCATCATGTAAAACAATTACAGGCTTTCGTTTTACACTCACTTGGCAGGACGGTAGTACCTCCCTGGGCGGTTGCTGTCTACCAACCTACTACCTAGGAATCTTGATTCTATACATATTAAATATTAATCTTCTCCTTGTATATATTAGTAATAATATTCTTGTCAGCTCTTTTGCATCAGTTAGTTTGACAGTGATTCATACTCCATTTTATCTAAGTTTTACACTAGTTTGAAGCAGTGTGTGATAATGAAGATTCCAACACATGCTCGTAAGTAGCTGTCATTTGTAAATGTTTTGTAATATATTTTTCATTCAAGTAAATTCCAATTATATAATGTACAGAGGGTTATTTGAATTGTGATGTTTCCACACTTTTGGCAAGACTGCTGTTGAATGAATATACATTATACCTATACCTTACCTACCTTTGGTATACCTTTGAAGAGTGTCGAGAGTTTCAATGATGGCAAATTTTCCCTTTTTGAGAAACTGTCGGTGTCGTAAAAAAAAGTGATGGAGGCATTTTGAAATGTTATAATTCCTCACCTTCGAGATAAGCACAGGAAAGGACATGCAGTGAGGGGAACTGTTATATAAGGTGAAAGGGAATAGGCACTAGCAATGGTATATAGCAGGCAGAAGTAAAATATGGTGCAGTAATTAGATGTATGAAGTAAAGTTCTGATATTTGTAGTATTGAAAGTTGCTCCTCATAAGCATTTATGTAATTTTGAGTTTTTAAATAGAAAATGCTATCAATACTGTATTAATTTTTGTATGAATTGAGCTGTGAAATTATTTGTGGTTAGTGTTAATATTAAGGAAAATTCTTTGTTAATTTTCAATGCACCTGCTGTCTCCCACTGAGGCAGGGTGACTAAAAAAAAAAAAGATGAGAATTTTCCTTTTTACATGTAGTAATTTATACAGGAGAAGGGGTTACTAGCTTCTGGCATTTTAGTTACCTCTTACAGCACTCATGACTTACTGAGGAAAGATTTTTATTCCTCTAAGGGATATTAATCAGTATTAAAAATTTCAGGTTTATGTAAGTGACCATGTACCTCCTCCACCAACACATCTTCAAGTGCTCATGGAGGGTTTTGTTGATTGGCTTAACTCCCCAGAGGCTCAGACTCTTCACCCAATTAAATATGCTGCTCTTGCACATTATAAATTAGTCTTTATACATCCATTTTCTGATGGTAATGGCAGAACAGCAAGACTACTCATGAACTTCCTTCTAATGCAGGTTAGTAAGGTTTAGATATGTATTTTTTCTTGAAAAAACAAAATGGACAATAGCTGAGTGTTAAATTTCTGTGCTTGAGAAATTTTAAATGCAAAAAAATAAAATAAAAAAAAGTATATTTGGCTTTCTCTTCCCCTCACCCTTTTCTACCTCATTCTTCTACAGTGGTGATTAAGATCAGCATCAAAAGTTAAAAGGAAAGGAAAAGTATAGGTTATATGATTGTAATATACAAAATACTCTGGTGCATAGACAGGGTAGACAAAGATATATAAGGTCTTTACATACTCAAATCAGCCACAGGATCATCAGAAAATGATTTGAATATGTCACACTATAAACAGATTCCAAACAGGGATTCAGTAATAGATATAACAAGTCTCTTACACTTCAATCGGTAAAAGTTGAGGCAGGGCCATTTGAATAGGCAAATATGTAATCTGAGTTTATCAGAAAGTGAGATGCATTTACATGTGTTTTCTTTTGCAGGCTGGTTATCCTCCAGTGATCATTCGTAAACAAGATCGTCTTCTGTACTATGACTGCTTACAAGCTGCCAACGATGGAGATACTCGGCCTTTTATGAGATTTATTGCTCAGTGCACGGAGAAGACACTGGATGTATATTTGTGGGCCACGAAGGAGATATTACCAGAGATAGAACAGGACACTGATCCAGTATTAAAGAAAGAGAAAAAATACTCAGATTCTGATAATGAAGAAGCTTATTTATCAAACATAAATCACAAGAGAAAACCAATGAACTATAATGATTTTAAAGATGAAAATAGACAAAATTCAGGGAATAAATTTGTATTTACTTCTGTAGATGATGTACCACCTTGGCAGTCGGATGATGGAAAATCAGAGAATAATATAGCATCTCCCCAAAATGGGAATTATATACATCAGAGTACTGAAGATGATATTCTGAGTGAAGATGAAGATGTCAGCTCTGTGCGTGATTATGAAGCTGAAGACGGCAATTATAGAGACCATCTTTGGTTTTCTAGTGATGAAGAACGAATTCCGGCTAGAGGAACCGGTAGATTTAGTAGAATAGTTGATGAGCAAGGGATATTTGATGATGGTGAGATATTGGAACAGTTAAAAAGTAAAGATAAATTTAAAATTGAGGAAGATGATAACACTTTATTGCGGAAAGATTAGAAACTTTATTATATGTGATTTAAGAAAGGTTATAATACTGGATGTGATTTTTATGTTTAGCCTTAATGATAATTTATATCTATTTATTTACTAGTGAAGAGATTTAAAATTAAAATACTTAAGCTAGTTTTTATTTTTATTTATTATCTATTTTTGTAATTGAAAATACACAAAAATATAAATATTTAAAAGTAAGTGGTACATAATTTAGTAATGCTGAAAATGTAGATGTTTGTTTATTTGTGATAAATGCACTGCACAAAGAATAGGTTTTATTAAAACAGGTTGCAACCATTTTCTTGGATATTTAAGAATTTCATTGTTTTCTTGTGTTTAATTGAGATTTTCTTTTGGAAAAAAAAATTAGGTTGGCTCTGAGTCATTAGTATGGTTAAAAATGTGTTTTATACACATATTATTGAAAGCTGTCCAGTCATACCAAACTGCACAAAAAATATTGGTTGTGGTTTGGACCCTTATCCTTGTAATTTAGAATCTAATCCATTTAGAGTACTGCAATGTGTGTTCTCTTCACAGGTTTGTAAGTAAATCAGTTTTGTTTTACTTACTGGTATGTACTGCAGCACAATTCATTAAAATTGTGGCTGATGGATCCCATATGGACAGAAAGATGAAAGGTTTAGTTCCTATTTAAATTGTTATTGTGAATAAAATCTAAAAATTGTGATAAATGAAACTGATTTAAAAAGTTGCTATTATGTGCAGATTACCCTATATTTTCTTCCTCAACTTCTGTACTATTCCAAGAAAAGTTTTAATTTTATTTCTGGTGGCATTCATTGGTAAGTTTACCATTCAAAAGACACAGTATAGAGCAAACCTTTATTGGCAGATGAAACTTTGCTTCAAGCAGAACTACATCAGGCCTACTCAGAGCAAAATATTGTTTATAAATGAAGGTTTGCTCTGCACATGTCTTTTTTTTTTTTTTTCCATATTTATGGGTAAGTCTTAGCATCCAACACTAAATTTACTGCACAAGTACAAGGTATATCAATACTGACATATTGTGGGGCAAAGACATGTGCAGCACTTAGAATATTCATTTAGGAAGTGTTTTGCCCACTAGGGACTTTGTTAATCCTATACCAGAAAAATAAGAAAATTAGAGAGGAACTTTGAGATGTTTTGACTGTGGAACACTTCTGTAATTGACCAAGGAATCCTGTTCTACATGTGACGTATCTCAATGAGGTTCCTCTGCATTTGTCTTTTTGACTTTGCAAAGTAAAAGGACACAAGTGCAACTAATGTGATATTTTATTGTGGCAACGTTTCGCTCTCCAGGAGCTTTATCGAGCCATTACAAACAATACATGGACACAGAGGGTATATATAGGCTCAGAGTGAGGTGCAATACTAGTGGTAGTAGTAGTAGTTGTAGTAGTAGTAGTAGTAGTAGTAGTAGTAGTAATACAATATGGTAAAGCAATTAATTCGCACATGAGTAAAAGGATATAAAAGCTATTATACTTGGGTAACATAAAAATAGGTTGGACAGATATAGACTGGATAGAGGCAGCCTGTTTCAGTGTTCACTCTGTAATGTGCTTTGTGTAGTATAACAGGAGAGACTATGTGATAGCAGGGTTCACTGTTTTCAGGAGGACTCCCGCTAAGACCACAGAGATGGTGAAGCTGCTGTTGTTTTGTTTAATTGTATTCGAAACAGCGATCAGTGCTGATTCGAGGCACTTGCGTCTGCGGAAATTAGTTTCTTTGATCACTAATTGGGCGTCCCTGAATTTCATGAGATGATTGGTGGAATTTCGGTGTTGTGCACAGGTGTTGTTCAGGTTATCGTTCCTACATGCGTAAATGTGTTCATTGAGGCGGGTGTCGAGGTTTCTTGCTGTTTCACCTACGTAAATCTTGTCACAGCCTCCACAGGGTATAGTGTAAACTCCTGCGTTGACTGGTTCATGGTGCTTTGATTTTGTCCTGGTTAGATCCTTTATTGAAGTGCTAGAAGCGATGGCGACTCTGGTTTTAGCTTGTGAAAGTACTTTAGAAACGCTCAGTGCAACCTGGCTGTTGGGAAGAATTATAACTTTGTTGGGAGTGGTGTTGGTGCGTGGAGAATTAAGGTTCTGAAGAGCTCTTTTCTTGCAGTCTTTGATGAAAAAGGAAGGAAAATATAACTCAGTGAATGTTTGGTGAATGTATGTACATTCCTCGTCAAGAAACTCAGGACTTCAAATTCGGTATGCTCTTAGGAAAAACCCGATGATGATGCCTCTTTTGGTCTTGGTATCTTGACTGGAATAAAAGTGTGTGAGATCATTTTTAATGGTAGATTTCCGATAAACTTGAAATCTTAGGTTGTTGTCTACTTTGTGAATGAGGACGTCGAGGAAAGGTAACTTGTCATTGGACTCTTCTTCTAGTGTAAACTGGATCGCTGGTTCAACTGCGTTGAGCCTTGCCTGAAGATTTCGTACATCAAAACATCTTCAGGCAAGGCTCAACGCAGTTGAACCGGTGATCCAGTTTACACTAGAAGAAGAGTCCAATGACAAGCTACCTTTCCTCAACGTCCTCATTCACAAAGTAGACAACAACCTAAGATTTCAAGTTTATCAGAAACCTACCAATAAAAATAATCTCACACACTTCTATTCCAGTCAAGATACCAAGACCAAAAGAGGCATCATCATCGGGTTTTTCCTAAGAGCATACCGAATTTGTAGTCCTGAGTTTCTTGACGAGGAATGTACATACATTCACCAAACATTCACTGAGTTACATTTTCCTTCCTTTTTCATCAATGACTGCAAGAAAAAGAGCTCTTCAGATCCTTAATTCTCCACGCACCAACACCACTCCCAACAAAGTTATAATTCTTCCCAACAGCCAGGTTGCACTGAGCGTTTCTAAAGTACTTTCACAAGCTAAAACCAGAGTCGCCATCGCTTCTAGCACTTCAATAAAGGATCTAACCAGGACAAAATCAAAGCACCACGAATCAGTCAACGCAGGAGTTTACACTAAGAACATAAGAATGTAGGAACACTGCAGAAGGCCTACTGGCCCATACGAGGCAAGTCCTTATCAAAACGACATCTACCTAAAGCTACTCAAGAAATAACTCCCGTACCCCTTGACACCAATCAAACCCAGCCCCTCCCACTCATATATTTGTCCAGTCTCTTCTTAAAGCTACCCAAGGTCCTAGCCTCTATCACCCCACTGGGAAGACTGTTCCACGCATCTACAACTCTATTAGAAAACCAGTACTTACCTATGTCCTTTCTAAATCTAAATTTATCCAACTTAAATCCATTATTCCTGGTTCTTACCTGGTTCGACACCCTCAGTACTTTATTAATGTCTCCCTTGTTTATGCCCGTCATCCACTTATACACTTCAATGATATCTCCCCTCATTCTACGCCTCTCCAGAGAGTGGAGATTTAAGGCTTTAAGTCTATCATCATACGGGAGGTTCCTTACACAGTAAATCATTTTAGTCATTCTTCTCTGTATGTTCTCTAATGAGTCTATGTCCATCCTGTAGTAAGGGGACCATAACTGAGCAGCATAATCTAAATGAGGCCTCACTAGTGATGTATAGAGCTGCAAAATAACTTCTGGACTTCTGTTACTTATACTTGAGATAAATCCAAGTAAACTATACCCTGTGGAGGCTGTGACAAGATTTACGTAGGTGAAACAGCAAGAAACCTCGACACCCGCCCTCAATGAACACATTTACGCATGTAGGAACGATAACTTGAACAACGCCTGTGCACAACACCGAAATTCCACCAATCATCTCATGAAATTCAGGGACACCCAATTAGTGATCAAAGAAACTAATTTCCGCAGACGCAAGTGCCTCGAATCAGCACTGATCGCTGTTTCGAATACAATTAAACAAAACAACGGCAGCTTCACCATCTCTGAGGTCTTAGCGGGAGTCGTCCTGAAAACAGTGAACCCTGCCATCACATAGTCTCTCCTGTTATACTACACAAAGCACATTACAGAGAGTGAACACTGAAAAAGGCTGCCTCTATCCAGTCTATATTTGTCCAACCTATTTTTATGTTACCCAAGTATAATAGCTTTTATATCCTTTTACTCATGTACGAATTAATTGCTCTACCATGTTGTATTGCTGCTGCTTCTGCTGCTGCTGCTGCCGCTGCTGCTGCCGCTGCTGCTGCCGCTGCTGCCGCTGCCACCACCGCCGCCGCCGCCGCCACTGCCACTACCACTAGTATTGCACCTCACTCTGAGCCTATATATACCCTCTGTGTCCATGTATTGTTTGTAATGGCTTGATAAAGCTCCTGGAGAGCGAAACGTTGCCACAATAAAATGTCACATTAGTTGCACTTGTGTCCTTTTACTTTACATATTGTCGGTAATTCTACCAACTTTATTTTTGACTTTGCACCATGTCTCCAACCCTTGCAGTCTACCAAAAGCACTACTTAAATAGTGGAGAGAGAGAGAGAGATCAGATCAAGTCAGGTAGCAGTAGTGAATGGTGCATGGGCAGAGACACCTCACTTAACCAAAGTGTTTTGTGGTATAATTATCTTCACGAGAACACTAATGCTGAAGTGTTCAACTGCTTAAAATTCATGCCATACTTCAACTCAAACTGTAAAAAGTGCACTCTGCATTATTAACACTGCTACACTTGAGAGCAATCACCAGACACATTAGTCTGCTTGTGTTTAGAGCACTAGCTAATAATCTCGGTGTACCACCAAGTTCCACCTCCCCTATCATGGACTTGATCAATAAGTGACTAATCAGAATAGTCAAGACTGGAGCTGGTGTGTACAGAATACTTTGTGAGTGGTGCAGCTAACAAACATAAGTATACATTCAGTAGTGACAAGCAGAGCAATGCATGTGTAATACATTGTAGCACACACACAGACATTTCATAAGTGGGATGAAGATATGTTAATAAGAGAGAACAATGTAGAGAAGCAGCCCAAAGTCAGTTAGAGAAGCAGCATTAATTAAAGGCAGCTATGCTAGCAGTATTTAACAAAGTCATGTGAAACTTGGGATATTTAGCATCTCTGTAGTACTCACGAATATGAATTTATGTATCTTAAGGCAGTCTGTTGACAATGTGACCCTAACAGTGCATCACACACTACAGCCACTTGACTGGATAGCTCTCCACCATTTAAGCCCCATGTTTTCAGTAGATTCTGCATAGGATTGAAATGCCCCTAATGAGTAATAAGTTTCCTTAATAAATGACCCAAGTGTTGCACATGTTTTTTAACTCCACTGACTTTACTGTACTCTAGTACAGCAAAATAATTGTGTTCAATGAATGTCGAGAGTGGAATATCCAAGAATAGCCAGTTTTATTTTTGCAGTAAAATGCTAGTTATAGGCTGTATATCCCATTTAGCATTCCCACAGTTCAAGCACATTAAAAATTTACTGCTTAAATTTTTTCAGCCTTAACACAAATAAATACCAACCAGGTTGAACTGATAAGGTAATGATCAATCATTTAACTGAATAAAGGGCACAATCATTAGTATATTTGTAAGGTGTACTTTGGAAAAAAAAAATATTGATTCACTATTTATTATATCTCTGTGGTAAGCAAGTGCCTGTTTATAATGCACTAATTAAGGTGTTATACATGAGGTATCCTCATACATAAGTAGAAATTGTTGGTAATTTGTGCTAAGCATTTATGTTCTAGAGTAACTTTTGTTACTAGCACAAACCAAAGACTAATGTTTTATATTGCATTATATTATAGTATATTGTATTACTGTATAAATAAAAGATTTTAATATATCTCATCTACTCAATTCTTTTTCATAGAAATTTCAGCATTACCAGTCGAACAACTTTGTTGCAAAATTAAATTTTCCTCTATCATCCATGCTCTTTTACTTTTATGATGGAAAAGATTTGGTGAACAATCTGCTCTTGGCTAGACTAAATTACATGAAATCCAAAAATATTTAATGTCCAATCTCTAGTAATATAGAATGGTTTACCTGTTGAGGGTTCTGGGGGATGATCTATGATGCTCAGTACTGATTGAGTAGACTGGTTGATGGCCTTGCCAGTCAGGACTCGCAATTCAAGAAACTGAACCTCTCAAAGGAGGTTCCTTGATGTTGGTGAGGGGCTCTTGATCTAAGGAATTGGATCTGTGTGCAAAGTCTGTATATATTACATCTGCATTCTTTTTGTCTTCTAGTGCATCTAGGACCTTGTCGTAGTGATCCAGTAGCTGAGACAGACAGGAGCTTTCTGCTCTAAACCCATGTTGCCCTGGGTTGTTTAATTGATGGGTATCTAGATGGGTGGCGATCTTGCTTCTTAGGACCCTTTCAAAGATTTTTATGATACGAGATGTTAGTGCTATCGGTCTGTAGTTCTTTGCTATTGCTTTGCTGCCCCCTTTGTGGAGTGGGGTTATGTCTGTTGTTTTTAGTAACTGTGGGACGACCCCCTTGTCCATGCTCCCTCTCCATAGGATGGTAAAAGCTCGTGATAGGGGCTTCTTGCAGTTCTTGATGAACACGGAGTTCCATGAGTCTGGCCCTGGGGGTAGAGTACATGGGCATGTCATTTACCGCCTGTTCAAAGTCATTTGGCGTCAGGATAATATCAGATAGGCTTGTGTTAACCAAATTCTGTGGCTCTCTCATAAAAAATTCATTTTGATCTTCGACTCTCAGTCTGGTTAGCGGCTTGCTAAAAACCGAGTCATAAACCATACCCCCGGCCGGGATTGAACCCGCGGTCATAGAGTCTCAAAACTCCAGCCCGTCGTGTCATTACGATTTCTTAAGTCAACCGAGTCATATTTGGGACTTGAGTAGCTCACTCATTTCCTTGCTGTCATCTGTGTAGGACCCATCTTGTTTAAGTAAGGGCCCAATACTGGATGTTGTTCTCAACTTTGATTTGGCATAAGAAAAGAAATACTTTGGGTTTCTTTCGACTTCATTTATGGCTTTTAATTCTTCCCGCAATTCCTGACTCCT